TTAGCCCTGCAGAACCCATCAATTTGGACCAGAAATAGCGCCGTCCTACGTGTGCACTGTTGCTATAGCGACGCTCGCTGGATTCCGCACCTTTTACGTAAAGGAGCTGGCGGTGCCCAACGCGCAGGCGCTTCGCTTTTCCTCCGACGCAAATTCTTCAGGCGCTCATTGTCTGGGTTTGAGAGAGCAGGCCGTACAGTACAGATCACACAGCCGGAGTGGAGCGTGCTAGCTGGGCCGCCGCGGCGTCACAGACAGCGGAGAGACAACAGAGCCGAGTCTTGCCGGTACTCAATGCACTTCCTCCTCCTCCTAGCCATGAAGAAACAGAACATTCGGACGCTCTCGCTCATGATAGCCTCCTTCATGTACCTCCTGGTCGGCGCCGCGGTCTTCGACGCGCTGGAGTCGGAGTCCGAGGAGAAGCAGCGCCGCCTGCTGCGGGAGCGAGAGAGCAAGCTGCGGGCGCTGTACAACATCTCCCGCGAGGACTTTCTCGAGATCGAGACGGTGGTTCTCAGGTCGGTCCCGTACAAGGCCGGCAAGCAGTGGCAGTTCACCGGAGCCTTCTACTTCGCTACCACGGTGATCACCACTATCGGTGGGTAATCCTTAACACGGTTCTACCCTTAACAGTTTAAGCTACTGTTTTTATCCCTCAATCCGGTGTTTCTTAAATGCATGGCGACTTTCTTTAACGAAGAGTAATTAAGAGCTTATTTAGTAACTGCAGGCTGTTTACCTTATTTCCTGTCTTTGAAGTTGTTTTGCTTCATCCGTAACTTCGCAGCCAAAGAATTTCGAAACGCTTTCTTGATTTTACGGTCTTTTATTTTATTCGTAACGTTTTGCCAGAGAGCTTTTACCTTAATTGTCTGATGACAAGACGGTGTAGAAAAACAGGGAAACACCGCCGACAACGGCGTCGGGAAATTGGATGAAATGTAGCAGTAGGAACCGTAGCCACCCACGGCATGGGAAGTGCCGCCGCGACTCTAAATTACGTCCCCATTTCATGACGGTATCCCCGGCTCTTTTCGCCAAGGTTCTGTTTATTTATTTCATTTTAAAACGGCTGGGTAGCCCATTCAGCTATGTAGCTGCTTTCCATCGGGGGAAATCATACAATTTCACAGGACAGAACTTGATAACATTAAGTCAGACAACAAAAGGTGGACAAACAGTCAAAATCTGATGCCCAAAACAACACATATCCATTCTCTCGCGAAACTCTCTGCCCATGTCTTGCATGGATACACAGAAAGCTTTTGACGATTTAACAGCCTCGAGTGAACCACCCGGCGTGAAACCACCACGACCAACCATTCTTTATCCCTCGATCATAACAACATCTTTATGATCGTAAATTTTTCACTCTAGATCGTTACTGTCAAACATATCTACAAATGAAATATGAAGCGAGATATACATGTATCTACAACCATCAAGTATTGTGACACCTCCCCGACGATATTCATGTTTTATGTATTTCAACCGTAAGGCAATGTTGATAAAGATCGTAGAGATCTTTACGCGAAATTGACAGTTGTCACAATCAAGAGTAGTACTTTACCCACAGGCTAGCTATAATTGACATACCATGGATCACAAATGTAAATTTGCATTTACGATCTGTTATGAGTTCACTTTGTTCACCATTATTGTATATAGCCTACCTTTATTTGTGTTCATATTTTGTTTGGATTCTTTTATCTGTACCTTCGATTCTCTTTTGTTTATGTATAATTCATTGAATCGGTGTCGTATAAGCCCACACGGGCTGGGCACGGGAAAGCGCACGACACGAAAATAAAGTCTCATTCATTTATTCATTCATTCATTCATTCATTCATTCATTCATTCATTCATTCATTCATTCATTCATTCATTCATTCATTCATTCATTCATTCATTCATTCATTCATTCATTCATTCATTCATTCATTCATTCTAGACAACAGTTGTAACCACAGAATTCGTCCTCTAGATCTAGAATGTGATGCATTTTGATAATATTGATAAGTCACGTAGGTGAAAGCTGAGACACACGTTAATATGTCTCCATTCTTGCCATCCCAATGTTGCAACACCTCACTTATGACACCAGACAGACATGCCAATATTGTGTTCTTCACAAAAGTATATTTCTTTAAGAAATATTTCATTAACATCAAATGCGATTCAAATCGCTTACATTCACATAACTCCGATATTTTCTATCCTTCAGAAAGTAAAGCGTCGTACCATAAACGTTGCTCAAACTCTAGAAAGAAATATTAGAATTCTGAAAATTCCTTTTTCATGCAAATGTCTAGAATAACGCAGCTCGAGTGGCTATGGACATTGCAAGTCTTAATGCCATTTCTATCACCCACTTTGATCAACAAATGTGGCCCCAGGACGCGCTAAAATTTGACGTGAGAACTTAATTTCAACACGGACTTGTTTTCGTGTCCGATCTCACGAAGCACGTGTTGGCTTCCATATATGGTAAGAACACTGCAGATGGATGTACGGACGGTATCTCAGGTTTCATACGTAGTGGTAACACCTGGGCGACAGAAGACTTATCTTCAACAACATTTAGAAATGGCTATCAGAAAGTAGAGCTCTAAACGCTCACTTATTTCTAGAGTTAGGTATAAAGTAGCCTGTCAATGATTCTTGTACAGTAACTTGACAGAAAAACTTTCTTGGCTAAATTTCATGTTTTACCTCTAGAAGGAATAAATTAGACATCTTTCTTAATGCATGACTTTATCAAAGAGGGATGGCAACGTTTTACAAACGTCCAAATGTATCCTATATAAAATATATCGACATTTGGACTATTTTATTACGTCTGTATTTGGGCTAGTCACATTGGAAGACCAACATTTTGCGCACCACACCGACTTCGCAGACGCATAGCGGGCCCTGTATATACTGCAGCTATAAATTAGGACATAAACTATAAATGCATCAGATTAAAAAGAATTACCAGTGAGTCTCTGATGTCTAATTTGTATTGTTGTTATGCACATCTAATCTAATCTAATCTAATCTAACCTGCACGTCGCAATACTAGTCATAATTAAAAATAATAATTCATAATTACATTCAAATCACTGAGTAAATTATGACTGAGTATATGGCAATAAACTAAAATTCGTAACCTATTAACATAACAGAGAAATGGCAGACATCGTATTTAATTCTCTGACTCTGCGATAAGTTTAACTTGCCTCTTGCAATCATTATGAATGCTACATGCACGGCATGTAGTTGCCTTAGACAAGTTGGTTATCGAGTTCCGAAAGAAGACAGCGCCCAAAATTACAAGCGTGTGCACTATCTATGTAAAACTGTGTAATGAAAAAAGATACTATGGAAGTTTGCCAGGTATTATCACTCTACAAAATATTGCCATGCACCACATCTTGATCTAAATGTAGCAAAATAACTGCTGATATGTATCACTTCAACATGAATAATGGCAAATTATCAATACTGATATGCTAGGTTTTACTTTATATTTGAAATAAAAAGTTTTTTCTTGGAAGATCGCCAACAACTTTCCTACAGTACATCTCAGTTTGTTTTTATCTTGTTCCAGGTTCAACAATTGATAAGAATATCGCTGATTTATTAGCGATTCTTATCAGCCCTTAAAAGCAAAAGCTGAAAAAGCTGATATATTAGCAGTACGTGCGACAAGAGAAAGCAATTAAGAAGAAATATGAGTGCAGCGTTTCCCGTTCTTCCTGTTGGCAAATAAGGTGTTCCTAGTTGACAAGTTACAATGCCTCCCTAGAGCGTCGTCAAGCCCTTACAATAGATCATAGGGCCTTAAAAGCTGTAATATTCAAGCCTACCGTGCCACATATAGCAATAGGCACTCGGGGGGTTCATTTGTATTGTTGTTTCTTTGACGTTACATCCCTTTCTATGATTACGGCTGTTTCTGAAGGCGGTATGGAAATAGAATTTCTGCTGCACGGTACCGCGGTACGGATTGCCTGCCTAGCCAAGTGCTTTTACCGGAAAATGAGTTGCCACCAGGCAGGATATCTTTAGTACGGTCGTTACGAAGGCAGTTGGAGTTTATTAACTGTGAGTTTCAATGAAGCGACGGCAGGTTATTACCCTAGAATATTGCAGTTCATTTGCAGCGCGTTATGTATCTACAGTGTATTCCTCGTTTTGAAAATCAAACTGAATATTTCGGGTCTTCGTGAAATATTAAGTGTTGTTGTGAATTTTTCGGTTCCAATCTCACTTACTCCCAGTCTGTGAGGAAACCATTTTGATCTCTAATTCAGACTTCCTGTCAGTCTGCGGTTATAGAATTCCCCCCTCACCTCCTGTGGCTTTACTGTATTCAAGGAACAACGGACGCACGAGGAAACAAACAAAAACAAAACATCTTAAACACGTTCTCTGGAGCTCTGTACACGCAGGTAATAAGAAGACAACAGATGCCTTAACTTAATATGGTCACAAGGCCAACTCAACTGGCTGGCCTCTCGTTATGTAGTAGGACTTTCCACCTGTTACTACGCCTACGCAAAGCAATCAGACGGGTCCCTTCACGGCGTGCATCCATGGACCCTACTCATAATCATTCGGCACCGATAGTATCTCTGGCAATAAGGTTATCTGGAAAGGCCAATCATGGGTGGAGAGAGGCAATGGAAGAAACCGTCTGCTTCCCCTCCGTGCAGATGGTATCAGTTTATTGGTACGCGTTCATTTCGGTTTCGGAGGGCATTGTCTTTATAAGGCCAGTCTCAAAGGCATCAGGGTCTTCTATGTACTATCAACATAAAGGCTTCCGGATGCTGGTATGTATAATTTAGAAAAAAAAAAGAGTTTTACTGTCAAGGTAAAATACAGCGCCTGTTGGAGCTATTACGACGGTCGCGACCCAGAGGTTATAAGGTCTTCAGCTAAACTGTAGGTCAAACTGGCCTACGTAACCGTTCTTTCTAACGGTGAGTACCGTTTGAAACAGCTCTGAGTGCCAGGCTGGAAAAGTAATGTAGAAAATTATTCATTTCACCACATTAAGCTGGTCACCAACCTTTTATGTGAAAGGTTAAAGCTGTGACTGACCCCAAACATTGACTACCACCTAATAATGCACCCAGGAGGATCCTAAAGAGTTCCCCATGTGGCGCACAACGTGCCGTACACCGTTTAAGGATTCAGCTCTATCAGAGAGGGTAATGGAAAGGTCGCCTTCCGCGGCTTACAATGCCTTTAGTTAGAGTGTTGGTATGGAGGACTGCGCAACCCGAGCAGTAGAGAGCTGCACGCTGTCACTCACTGCACAGCCTGGTCTTTGACTCCAAACTCTTCTGCCTAGCCTTCAGTTTGCCAGTGGTTTAAGTGTGGAACTAGAGTTAGCATGGAGAGGATGAAGATATGGGTTTTCCCCTGCCATTTCCATAGAATCCAGCAGTTGCAAAATGTTTTCTTCATTTTTTTTTAAATTTTCTATTTTCAAGGATTAGGTGTGACACGTCGTTCGGTTTGATGTAGCCAGCTGCCGCCGCGCCGCGTGCCTGCGAAGCTGGTGTGTTACGCAGAAGGGCGGTTATACCGGCTATACCGATAAAGATTTTAAATGACCTTTACTTTACATCCCTAGCTACAAAGATCGAGCAAAGATCCTTGACCGTTTACGTAAGGAATCATAATGTCCTGTTATATCATTTGTGTCATCACAATTATGCCATAGGCACAGGATTACAGTGTTTAAATTTCATAACGCTCCATTCGGGAGATGTAAACAGAACGATTAAGCCCAGGTGCGTTCGAGCTAGACGTTAAACCTCAGCTTCATCCTCCTGCTTGTACCACAACCGGAAGGCATCGTCAGTCATGTAATGACAAGGATCTTTCTAAGCCCTTAACTGATGATGTCTTCAGCAGCTGCCACCATTTGCGTCAGCGAACGCATAAACAGATACACCTTTATCAGTACAATATATTAACTGTGCCTCATTGCAATGTTAACGCTATTAAAAAGGCACATATGCACATTGCACACACACATACATACACAGGCAAACGGGCACACCCTCTTGTATACAGGATAAACCAGTTATTTCTGTTTTGTGGCAGGTTAGGTCACATTGTCTTATGTTCCTACAGACATTACTGGCTAAGCACCTTTTTGGTTCACTTGGGAATAGTTTTATCACAGATCTCTATGAAATAGATATCTTGTTTTTGATTCTTAAGCAGTTCTGATCACGCTGTGTCCTATATTCGTTGCGGGGATTAGTGAGTAAGCCCCTTATAGCTTCAGTCGATCTAGGGATAAGCTCTTTACCATCTGCATATTATCTCATTTTCCACCCGATGGTTAACAATTCCAGCCTTAAGTAGATTGTAAAGGCCACGGTATACGATGTAATGAATCATCTTTGAATCTATAACTTGTCACGGTTATCAACATATCTCCATGCAAAAATGAATGATGACCGGTCTAAAAAGAAATGGTAATCTTTAATGGTGGCGTCGAACGGCCGTGTGCAAGGAGAGCGGGCACGAGATCGAGCGGTTTTACGAGTTTGATTTTTTTTATTTATTTTTTTTCCAACATCACCAGACGTGGTGACGACACACTCAAGTTTTTTTCAACTTATATTAAGGGGGCAAATACATGACAGGACAATACCCATTTACACCTGAGCTAAGTTTGATACGAGTTTGATTGAGGAGGCAAAGGGCAATAGCAAGCATTGCGCTAGACACGGTAGACTATCAACCCACTAAACCTTTTCATTTCAGGGCATTTTCACTCCTACAGAGAAACCCCTCCCTTGACTGGCTCCAGTCTTGTCTTGGCAGTTCTTGGCAACTGCCCCAGTGTACGACCTCAAAAAGGCAATAAGACTACATCTTTACCTTCCTATCCTATATGTAATGCTTTACGTTCTTTTTTGCCCTTCATAGGATACGGTCACGCAGCGCCCATCACCATCGGTGGGAAGGCCTTCTGTATGTTCTACGCGCTCCTCGGCATCCCTATCGGCATCGTGATGTTCCAGTCCGTCGGTGAGCGGGTCAACACCCTGGTGGCCTACATCCTGAAGAAGTTCAAGAAATGCTGCCTGAGACAGAAGCGACCGGAGGTGTCTTACAGCAACTTGGTCACCGTGGGCTTCATCAGCTGCACGGTCATCCTCACCAGCGGAGCTGCTGCCTTCCAGTTCTTTGAAGGATGGGGATTCTACGACAGCTTCTACTATTGCTTTATCACCCTCACCACCATCGGGTTCGGCGACTTCGTGGCCCTCCAGCAGAACAAGGCGTTAGAGAATAAGCCCGGATACGTGATTTTTAGCCTGCTGTTCATCTTCATCGGCCTGACGGTGGTGTCGGCGTCCATGAACCTGCTGGTGCTGAGATTCCTGACCATGAACACCGAGGACGAGAAGCGAGACGAGCTGGAGGCCGCGCAGAGAAGATCGAAGGAGAACATCAACGCGGTGTCACACGAGAGGATCGAGATCATCACAGACGGGCAGATTCCTCACTCGGACACCAGGATGGAGCTGCTTTCAGGGAACGACCTATACAGAGCACACGACTCTTCCCTCGCGGATATTTCAGACTTGGTGTCTCTGTGCGCGTGCAGATGTTGTCCCTGCTTCTCCCACGGACACTGCCGTCCCACGTACAGTTCCAGCATCCAGGAGAGCCAGATGTTCGACATGAAGCTCGTGGACTCCTCCAACCATAACCAGAACCACACCATGAACCACAACCACAATCACGTCGTCGGACTCGAAAGATGGTCCAGGAAACGGGCATCCGTATGAAGAAACATGACAATATTTGTCAAACATTTTGAAACAAGACTGTTGCTTCAAAGTTAATTCAAGAGGCATAGATTACAACTCAACCATAGAGAATTGATATATAAATCAATATGCACCAAATATTGATATATTGATCAAGCGAGCGATGACAATCGACGAACGATCAAGAACAAAAACAGCTGCTCTAAATGTTCTATTTCTCTTGCCCTTAAAACAGAACATTACGCAATTGAATTGCATTATGGCCAACAAAGATAGGTGACTTTCAAGGACAATAGGGTATACAAAAACTGTCGCCACTCTTAATGGTTGGCATGACAAAGTCAGTTAGGTCCGAAGATTTAACGCTACTAGATTGAGAGACCATTTATCAAGAGGTTGGGAAAGAATTGAACATATCAACTAAGGGAGAACCTTCATTGTTGCCCCTAATACCTCTTATAAAAATATCTTTTTACGAAGATGAGCGGGTAGCATGTTGGGGACATTGCTATCTTTATGCTGCTAGTTATAAAGATAACCTTTACGGTATCAAGGTCTTTCCCAAAGTTAGCATGTCCTATTTCTAAACGAGGGCCATTGTTGTTAAACATGTGGCATAGACAATTTTGTAGTTCAACATCACGAACAGATATAGATGTTTCCCAGTTCAACTTCTAAGAAGTTACTACCAATATTTTGTTACAATTCCCCTTACTCTATAAAATTCGGACATGTCTAATGCCCTAAACCTTCACTGTATGTTATTTCATAGAAAGACTTAAGATGTAAAAGAATGTTGCTTAGAGATGAGATTTATTCAAAACTATTTGATGTATACTGACTGTTTTATGGGTATAGGTATACAATAAGTAGTTTCTAATGAAATGTATTGTTTTGCACCTACATTTGTACATATTACTTGACATAAAAAGACTATAGATCAATGCAAAACTAGTTGCACATAGAGAAATGTATATAATAACGTGGAGGAAATACAGGCCTGGAAGTATAAGAAAGTATGCAATATATTTTCAAAGGCATCAACAGCAAAAGTTATTGATTATGACATTAAACAGACATGGATAAAATCGGATTATGTATGTACTGGATTTTCTAAAGAAAGCTGCACGAATTGTCTAAAAGTTGTTAATAAAAAATCAGGTGATTTAAATCTATCACTTTTCTTCTATATATGATAAAAAAATTAAAAAAAGAACGACTATTATTAGCTGGCACTGCTTTCATGGATACGCCAAACATATTTTATGAAGTTTACATATATTAAACAAGAAAATGTAAGTTTATGGAATTTAAAAGTATATTGTTGATTCGTCTTTCATAAGCAGCTCTGCTCCAGTATTTCACCACGGTTGAATTCTGTTTACAGTTTATATTGACGTATCTTAAGTTTACTTAATGTTATTTTTTATAAAAAAAAGGTCAGAAATGCTCTTATGATGAGTATGTATTGTGCTTTATTCACGACTGTACATATACTGAACTTGACAAAGACATCTGAATGCTGCTCTCTGAATCAAACTCGGTGTATCCATGCAGAGATATTTTGCAAGCATATCTGTTTGACAAGTTAGAATTAAAAGCAACATATCTGTGTCTACACGTTTTCAAGAATATTACCACCAACCTTTACTCCAGAGAGATTTCGTTATTATTAGTCTGTAATGTAGTTTCTAACTACAAGAATGCTAAAGAATGTTATTATTAATGATTGGGTTGTTTTAATATTAATCAGAATACGTATTAATCATGAATACAAATGAAAATGCTTTTTGTGATCATAAAGATTTTCCTAGTGAGTTACAGAGGCGTTTGTCTTTTGTCTGTCTGAAAGAAATTCATATAGTTATGCTATCTTCGTAATGCCCTTAAAATTAAAAATGGGGCAATGACTCCGTGCAATGGATGTTGCATATGACATGTTTCAATTCAGTAAACTCTGTGACATTCTATGCTTAGACATCACACATCTGCTGCTAAAAGATAACATTAGGACAGAATATTAGAATAAAGACTTGCCACAGGAAGGATTTCTCAAAAATATGCATTTACTTCCCCAACAAATGAATCAGTTATATTCTGTCAAGTGTATAGATACTACGTATACGTTCTTTATAATGTCGCAAACTATCTATCTTTCAAAGAATATACCATACATCTCCGAGAATTCTTATTAGTCGCTAGTGCTTGTCCAGATTTGCTACAAAAGACAAGTTAGTGTTTGGAATAAGGAACGGGCGCACTGTCTGGTAGAACCATTTGTCTCTATAAAGAAAGTCTCATTACGGATTGCTCGTGGAATCTACTATTGATTTGGAAAGGGCCAGAAACGTTACCGCACCATTATATGAATGCCTCCTACGTCTCTGCTGTCAGATTTATCCAAAACGTGATCAGGTTATATTGCATGTCTGTCTAGCCACTGCCAGAACTGATACTTTTCTATCCCTACCGCGGAAGCAATAGCCTGAATAAATTACGCTTGTCTTTACACTAGTCAAGACTCTAGATGGTTGATGGCCAACACAGTGTCTTGGCCATTGGTGACATTTCAGCATTTTGATCCATTGATACATGTGTCAATACGAAATCGGAGATTGCAAGCCTCCGGAAAGGGTTTTCATCAATGTATTGGATCTGTGGAAGGGGTGAACTACTTCCTGAATTCCTCCACATACCACTCACTTACTTCCGCCCAGCCAGTGATTATTGGACGCCAGGATTAACATCCCTGTCAATCAATTGACCAAATATCCACCCATCAACTCTCCCTGCAACCATCTCCCATTGGCAAACAAACCAAACCAACCAAAACAATACCACAAAACAACGAATGTAAAACTAGTAGCTACCTGTTCCTACAGAATTCGACTCAGTTATGACTGATTTTGATTGTGTCAGTGGAGCCTGAACATCTACTGGGTTTTCATGTGGCAGTAAAAAAAATCCAATAGATTTTTAGGCTCCTCTTGCACAGTGAATCTTGAGCTAGTTACTTTGGGTAACATTGCTACTTCTTCTAGAGCATGCTTTGTAACGAACGCTCACAAATTTAACAGGGGGCTCCATGGAGTCTTGGAGGCCAGTGGGAGTAGTACACAGACTACGTCAGCACGATCTCTGTTGGTGAAAACAAGTCGTGACATCCATTACTGAGCATTAAAGATGTCAGCAGCACAATTCTTACCCTGCGGTCTGAATGGCAGTACCTGCGTCAGAGGCCTGCCAATTAGTGTGTTTGTAGTATGCATGGATGTGGTCGTGATTTGTCGTGTAGTATTTCATAACAAACTGTTGTTGTGTATCTGTATCTGTATTGGTATAGCCGGTTTAACCGCCAGCTTCGCAGGCACGCGGCGCGGCAGCAGCTGGCTACATTATACTGAACGACTTGTTACACCCAACATTCAAGCCACCATGCCAACATTGATATCTGAATATATTACACACCCCTAAACTCATATAGGTGATAAGCAATCACTAATGGAAGGCCCTCAAAAACCTACATTTCTACTAAGATTACAAACCCAATTATTACCTACTAAGGCACTGCCTCAAAAGATAAAGTCAAAGTCCCTATAATTCCTAGTAATGTACGTAGAAACATCAGATCTAGATCAGAGTGACTAGACATTCCTTTTTATTGTGTTCCTTTGCAACTACTTTTTGGTCATTAGGACTGAGTCTGCAACCTGAGATTGAATATGACGTCTCTGAGACAATTATTGTGCTTTAGAGAGAAGATGATACAAAAGTTTAAATTGGTTTATACTTGCAAAACACATACATCACCAGGAATCTCATTCTCGTGCGTACACGTGTCTCTAAACGTGACAGGTCCTATTCACCGAGAGATTACTCTCGATGGAACTTGGCAACTACAGCTGGAATCGTCTCAACCTCATGTACATCATTGAGTCTACGGGATGATTGGATGACGTCAAGACGACAATCTTTTTATTCTCTCCGCAGCTGTAATTCTACCTCAGAGATAATAACGAACATGTTCTAAGTGCTGATGTGCCTCTAACGTGACAAAAATGCCTTCTGCAATCTTCATCAAGTGGCAATGTATTCGGATAAGTTGATGTCGTTTGGCATTACCATAACGTTCAGGGCTTCTGTAAATTGTTACGACTTCGATTGAGAGATCAATTTGGTGCTGAAGTTCTTGATTGGAATCTTGCATGCTATTTTTCACGAGTTTACCGGGGCAGTCAGTGCGAATTTCGTCTCATCTGAAAAGTTCTTGATGAATTTTGGCAACGAAAAGGTAATGACATCAGCTGAATTTATTAAATTACTTGCTGCTGAAGTTGGTAAGGTCGTCTTGTGGTCACTATAGGTAGGTTGAAACTTACTTTAAGGCTATACGTTCAAATACCTAGCAGGCCACAGTTATGTTATCTCTGTCAACGTCAAATGAGATGTAAAATGTTTTCCTATACCCTGTTTCAATCGGCTACAACGAAAAAAGATTAAGGTAGACCCAAAGCCGTTTCGAGGCCGAAGGGCCATTGCGCTGTCAATACACTAAGTCTAGGGTTCGGTACTGACAGGCGGAGCCCATCCCTCTCCTCCTAAGCCCACTGCCTATTACTTCCTCAGCTGAAGTCAGGTACCCATTTTACACCTATGTGGAGTGAGTAAAATAGTGTGCCTTTCCCAAGGATTCAAGGTGTACTTCGAAATTTCTCAGCGAGGACACGTTTTGCCACTTCCACTGAAGCAAATCACCCTTTCTTCCTCCATACCCTACCTCTAAGGAGTTAACTCTATAAGCTTCTTTCCTAGAACACCATCACTATGGAACAAGCTACCACGTGATTGTTTCCCAAATGGGTATCAAACATCTGTCCTCACTCACTGTACAGTAACCCAAAACATTTGAGTGGCTCCCATGAGTCTTGTTTTGCAGTGAACATTAAGTAAATAATAATAAAAAAGGTCTAGCCAGGAATCGGACCCCGCGACCTCTCGATCTCGTGTTTGCTACTCGCTACAATGTGGTTCCACAGTGCGCGCCCAGTGCTCGGCAGTATACACTTAATGTCTAGGCTTTGCTACACTGGTTTAAGGTATCTGCGACATGACGTCCCCGTTTCACCTTGAAACTTTCAAACTAAACCCATTATAATGGATTACCTTACATTACCCGAGCAAGTTCAACATTTGTCTGTGTTTATGTTGACCATAGTCACGTACTAGGCGACAAAGACTGCGCCGTTAATATCCTGCACTTAACATGTCTGTGTTTG